AAATATAATTAAATAAAATAATTTCCCACTTATTATATGCATTTCTATGCACACTTTACCCCACCACGTGCTCATTGCAAAATTCAGAGAAATGCAAACTTTGAAAGATGGCTGTGTTTGCTTATTGTTTCAAAAAGGGCAAATTGGGTAGGTTTGGCTTTAAACTGAAGTAAATGTCTTCCCCATCTCTACTTGAGCACTCAGAATTATTCTCGACATCTTGAACTTGTTGCCCTCTCCTCCCCTTCTTCACCGCCACCATCCGCTGCAAGCCGTACCACCATGACAGAAATAAATTAGCCAGAGCTACAGGTCACACCTTTGAGGGCAGTAAGCGCTCAGCGCAGAACCAACAGACAAAACAGAAACCTGGAGAAAGGAGGAGGAATGTGGCTGCCCTGGTGACTTGACGCAAGCCCAGACAAAATAATTGTTGGCATAATATAACAGACTCTAGAGATAAAAATGATTGTCACATGGCAGAATTGTTCCTGGAGGACTACTTTACTGCTTCATATTATAGGAGGCTGCGCACACATCACATGAAAACATGTTCTTCTATGCCGTTACAAAATTAAAAATTAAAAAATCCTTCACCTAGACAAGTAGCAAGTCAAGAAGGATAACCTTACTCCCTGACAAGCTAGTTTTCTATGGGGGAGATCTGGGGACAGGGATGGAGGAGCATTCAATTATTTGATTTCCTACTGTGGTGCAGCCCAGACATCGACTGCCAACCCTTTTAAAATTCTCCAACATTTTAAAGCAAATTTCTCCATATGTGTTCTTGTATGCAATCTCCTCTAATATACACATCCTTGCAATGGATTTTTGTATGTTAGTTTCACTAATACATGAATTTTTATGCACAATTTATTATAGCATGTGCATCTTTATACACCTTACTTCCTAAATTCGGAGGAATGTGAATTTTGAAGGATGGCTGCATTTCAGTTTGTGCACTTTTTTGAGAGGGGCCAATCAGGAAGGTTCACCTTTCAAGAGGAACTGAATCAAATTTCTCCCCCATTCCTACTGAAGAGCTGCTTGAAAGAGCCACAAACTTTGGAGTGCTCATCAAGTTGGTGTCACTTTCTTGCACAACTTCCTCAGCTCTGCGCATCACAGCAATAGCTCAGTAATGGTAAGAGAAAGAGATTTGCACACTGTTGCACTGACAGATCTACAAGGGCCAACAGTCTTTCAGAACCTCACCTTTTCCATGGTCACAAAACGAGGGTGTTTGAAGCCGGCCCTTGGCTGACAGCAATGGGAAACATTCATCTGTGTTATTTTAGGAATTCTTACCCCATCTTTCAGCACAAATGCTTTCAAGGTGGCTAACAAATCTAAAGGGTCTCCTGAACAACCCTGCAAGTTAGGCTATGCTGACCTAGGGATACCCACTGAGCTTTGTAAGTGCAGATTTGAACATGGGTCTTACTGGTCCTTGTCTGGCATGTGAAGCACCATGCCATATTGACTCATGATCTGAAACTTGCTGTTCTGTAACTTTTCCACGCACATGTCCCTGAGTGTTTAAGATCAGTTTGGAAAAAGAGATAAACCTCCTACTAGTTGTGGACAAGGCTCAGTGACGATTAGAGTGGTACCTCGGGTTACAGACGCTTCAGGTTACAGACTCCACTAACCCAGAAATAGTACCTCGGGTTAAGAACTTTGCATCAGGATGAGAACAGAAATCACGTGGTGGCAGTGGGAGGCCCCATTAGCTAAAGTGGTGCTTCAGGTTAAGAACAGTTTCAGGTTAAGAACAGACCTCCAGAATGAATTAAGTTCTTAACCCGAGGTATCACTGTACATTCATCTTCCAATTATATAATACAGTACAGTACTAAGAAAATTCCAGTACAAACGTAAAGATTCCTTGCCTTCAACTCCTTTTCCTAATGAGTCACAAATGAAAATGCATTCAGTTAAGTCTACTAGTAGCTAACTTCAATAGGTCTACTCTGAGTAGGACTAGCATTGAACCCTGCACATGGCTTTTAATCCCATACCCTCTTCAAGGCTGGGCACATGCTTTGATTCTGCACAGCACCAGACTTGAGCACAGAATACAACTTCCTAAGAATCTCAGCCTTCGTTTAAAAAAACCACCACTGCCACCAAGCTTCTAGACCTTATTATTGTTGAGCAGCTTTCAAGTAATGCTGTGAGAAAACTCTCATCCAAAGAGAACTCTCAGCCAAACTGGAGGGAGGATTTGGGAACAAAAGAGGGAGAAAGCCTGCCCTTCTTTCAAATTTGGGGGGCTGGATTGGAGCCGAGGGGGGGTTAACCTTACCAACACTCCTCCTAGTGGGTTTCTGTCCATTCCCCCAGCTCCAGAAAATTTGGGAGCTGCTGATTCAATAGTGAGTCAGCAAAAGAGATGATATAGGGAGGCTCCACCCCTTGCTGAGTCACACTGATGCTTCAATGAGTTTTCTACCTCATCCCAAGTAGCTGACCAGGCACTTCATCTGTGGCCCTGAGGCTTCTGCCTGGTTCACCATCACCTTTGCTCTTGTGGTCCAAGGGTCCAGGAGGGGTGGGGCGGTGAACAAGTGAGGCTTTTGAGAGCCATACAGGAATGCAGGCAACGAGAGTGGAGACCTCCACCCTTGCAGGTGGAACGTCTTGGGACAAAAGCTTATATCCATCCCAGATTGTAGAGAGTCTGTGGACAATCCTGCTTCAACCAGAAAGAATGTCCAAGGGTGACCAGAAGATGAGCCTCATCTCAGGGACGTTTTCCCTGGGCCTCCAAAGAACCCCTTTGACCCCATCCTGAGCACTCCCAATTCTCCCGCATCCCCACCCTGTGCTCCCTGGTCCTCAGGAGTGAAGGCAGCAGTGGCCCTGGAGGAAGGCCACCAGTCGGACTGCCAGACTGCTTGCTCACTAGTGTCTACTTGGAAGGAAATGGAGAGAAGACACCATTGGAAGCAGTGGCCCAAGCCTTTCAAGCAGAGGAGGTGTGTCCTTTGTAAATCTGGCACATTTGCAGCGCTTTGTGCTGCAACCTTTTGTTGTAGGTCCCCACTTGGTCCTTTACCAAAGGCATCATGGGTTTTGAAGACACTTGAACTCAGGACACAAGGGAGAAACGTGCTAAGAGGAAGGCACGCTTGGCAAATCCACACCGTGATCAACTCCCGCCCACAACTCCACTGTGGAAGGACGTGTGGATCCAGAATTGGCCTCCACAGTCACTTACGGACTCACTGTTAAAACCATGTTTATGGAAAGACAATCTTACCTGGCTACGAGTGATCACCAAAGAAGAAGAGGAAGAGGAAGAGGAAGAAGAAGAAGAAGAAGGCGCTTGCTTTCGAATGCCCTTTGTGTCAGAATGCCATCCCTACTTTCATGTGTTAGCTTTTGATTACATGCCAGGGTTTGGGGGAGGAAGGATGCAAGCAAACGGTCCTTTTTTTGTTTTAGAAAAGGGGGTTCCAACATTCACCATGAAGTTGTTACAGTAAGTACCACACTTTTAACACTTGGGGTGCCAGTACTGTGTATCCTTGAGTACCCCCAGGGGAAAAAACTGCAAGCAAAGCACTCCCAGCAAACTAGTCACATAAAAGAATAAGACCCATCTTAATGGAAGGAATACGATCAATTGCACATGCTAGAGATACACCAGGCCTAGTGCTGCAACAGGGAATGCAGGGCCCAGCACCAGCTGGCCTCTCCTGATCACTCTGCACACTGCAAAGAACAGCTGCACCTATTGGATTTCTACAAAGCACCTTGTAAAAAGGACCCAAGGACCCATCTCTCAACCAGCATTTCACTCAGTGTCCAGTCTGATGTCCCTAGGCTTCAGAGATGCCCAGATGTTGTTGGACTCCAACTCCCATCAGCCCCAGCCAATATGGCCAATGGTCAGAGAAGTTGGGAGTTGAGTCCAAACACATCTGGAGGAACCTCATCCCTACTCTAGAGACTCACAAACAGGGGAGCAAATGCAAAAAAAACAAACAAAAACAAAAATTCAGTGAAGGCCTTCAAAACATAGAGAATTCCTCTAGATGACTTCACTATCTAAAACTGAAGGTAGATACACATTCTCTCTCTCACACACACGCACAGGATCCATTTGTTTCTCATCACAAGTATTTGACATGAACTATAGACACAATCTGGTTACAAATAAGGCTATTTTTGTCATTGGAATATATTGTCCCAAGTTTCTCCTTCTTAAAAAGGAGACATGAAATACAATTAGACAGACCTTTGCAAACTGAAACCCCTTGGCTTTAATTCTCCTCAAATAATCTCTTTTTGGACAACTCCATTTCAGAAGAAAAGTCTCTGTCCCCACCCCCAACATGAACTCTACACTCCTTTTCTTCCAATTTCAAAATGTACTTTAAAATATGAACATGGGATGTTGAGGCACAAAGTGAAAATTACATCTAAAGTGATCCTTGTGGGTGGGGTGGGAGAATAAAGAGATCTCTTTCTTCCCGTTAATACAATAAGCAATATGAAAAGCACAGCAGAAAAGCCCCAATGTCCACTAACATCAGCATTCCTATCAAGAAACTATAGTAGATTTAAATTTGTTCAGCAACTTTTCCAGGGTTTATCATTCAATGAAGATCCCAATACTTCGCTGTGAGAAAGGGGAAAAGATTCTTTTTAAAAACACGAAAGATAAATACCCTTCTTTACAAACTCCTCAGAAACCACAAGAAATTTTTCCAGCTCAGCAATCCCTCTCATTTGCAGAGTAAATCTTTTTATGCCATTAAAAAAAAAAGAGTAGAAGAAACATTTTCCCAGTGTTCCCTCCCCCCTCACTTTAAAATATTATAACCTGGAGAAGCAAGCAGCTGTTTTGGTTAGGTCAGCAAATGGCTAAAGAGTTTGCTCCTAGTCTCTTATCAAGTTTGAAAGGGAAGTGGTTAAAGGCTTGGGTCCGCCACATCAATCAATAAAAACTTGCAAAACGCTCCTGGTTCGATGGTGTTAATAATACTGACCTGCATTGTATGCATTCCACCAGTAGCAAACTCTTCTCCTTTTCTCCCTCCCTCCCAAAAGACACGCATTTGTGTTCAATCAGAACAGCACAAAAGAAATCAGCAAATTGTCTTCGTCTTAGCTATGTACAGTTCCCAACTTCTCCTGGATGCTACAGAAAGGAAAGCTGCCCCCGACGAAGGTATTCTTTCCACTTTGAAAAGTAAAATCCACTCTTTCTTTTTTTCCCCCTGAACGAGTTCAAATGTCGGGCTTGCCAGGCAGCGGTGAAAGGCTCTCTCAGTGGACAGGCAGAGTTCTGAACCGGTTGCATATCACACACTTAATGAGCATCGCCTCCTTCCCAGTGGTTACTCCTAGGGGAAGTTACACCTCCACATCTCCTCCAGAAGCCAGGAATGCAGATGAAACCAAAGTCCAGAAAAACCCTCCATCAATAGCTAGACACGCCCCCCCCTGCATGCACACACACACACACACACACATACACACTCCCGGGTCAAGGAATGCAAATTGCAACTTCCAAGTCCGTTTGTCAAAAAGAACATGGGTGTGTTTTTTTAATATACTTTCCCCCTTCCATACTGCACTTGGCAAAGTTTCCTTTCTGCTTTGCAGTCATCTGCCAGGAGAGCATTGCAGTGTGTATTGTGCTCCAAGGAATGACTCCATTCCCTAACAATATCTGGAGGAAAGTTTCTCTCGGATATAATAGTACTTCTGCCTTCCAGTGTGTGTGTGTTTAGGGGGGTGGGGGACAAGGGAAACAGTTCAAGCTGGCCAGCACATTTGGGATCCTTAGTTTTTATTTTCTCTATAAACATTACGTGAACAGCCAGAGGATTGGGATGTGTGTCGCCACTTTTTATTCTGCGTGTTAAGAAAGGAAGAGCTTGGGGGCCCCTTTTTATGTATTAGGGGAGGCAAGTTCCAAAGCAAAAAGCAATAGAAAACATTTGCATGAATTATGTTAATTAATTCAAAACTGTTTCAGAAGGATCGTTTTTAAAAGCTTCACCCAGGTTATCTTTTCTCACATTAAAACACTTTAAAAAATGACCTAAGCTGTGTAATGCATTGATAAATAAGTCTATAATAATAATTTTTAAAAACTGCTTCACTATATAAGCTATAACAAGCCAAAAGGTACTTTGATATCTTTAAGATATTGAGTGAGAAAGGGAACTTTGCTCTATGATTTATTGTTATTTTAAATCACACCCAAGGGAGATTGTGACCACCCAGGAGAATCATGGGAATTGTGGTCCCCAGATGAAAGCAGCAAGTGAGTTTGTGTGCCTGAGGGAATGGATGCTGTCAGGAAGTAGCAAAAGGATATGAGCCACCTTCAATAGCTGTATGAAAGACAGGAATTAAATAGGTGAAAGAGCCCTTTCGCTGCACCTTCATGCTGGGTGAAGCTGTACCTGTTGAATTTCTGTGGGTCCCACAATTGGTAGAAATGTAGCACTGTGAGGGGAGTGTCATTTAACAACTTTCAGCGCCCTTGACAAACTGCAGCTCCCAGGATTGTTTGAGGGAAGCCATGACTGGATATTCTCCAACATTTCTCAGATGAAAATAGGGACATTTTATTCCACAACAGGAAGCTTCTCTTCTCCCGCATTTGATGTACATTTGTGACCTTGAGCCAATTACAACCTCTCAGCCTAACCTACCTCACAGGATTGTTGTGAAGAAAAAAATGTGTGAGGGAAGGGATCGTGTACCACACTTTCAGCAGATAAATGGAATGAAATAGAATTATAGCTGTAAGCTGCCTTGAGTCCCTGTCAGGCTTGCCTTCATGCGCAATAAGCAATTAAAACAAAAGCACGCATTCGCCTACCTTGTGGACAGCCTGAAGGTGAAAAACTAGACCCGAAGGAAGTAGAGCCAATCCAGTTTTCCCCAACATACTGTATTTTTTTGTGTATAAGATGCCCCCATGTATAAGACGACCCCTATTTTTTTAAACCCAAAATAAAGAAATTAAGTTGTTTAGCTTTTGGGGGGTGGGGGATGTCACTTCCACCAATTGCTCACCCGCCTGCCCGCCACTTCCGATCGCTTTCCACAGCCACTGCCCATCACACACCTCACTGCAGCCGCCAATTGTCTGCCCGCTTGCCGCCACCTGGTGCCCACCCGCCCACTTGCCGCAGCCTCCAATCACCTGCCCACCTCGCTACAGCTGCCAATCGCCTGCCCAATTGCCACAGCCAATCGCCAGCAGGCCTTGCCAGTGCCACCAATCAGCCGCCCAATCGCGGTTGCCAATCTCCTGCTTGCTGCTGCCATTAATCACACGTCCCCCCTCTGCATTCACTATCCGTGTATAAGACAACACCCAATTTTTGTCTATTATTTTTTTTAGCAAAAAGCATCGTCTTATACATGGAAAAATATGGTACATAAAGCCAGGAGTTTTCTAATAAGACCAAGGTGATGGTATGTGGTGAGGAAGGAGTGCTAAACTCTCTTTCTCTGCTTTCCATGTGTCTCTCCAATCCATAACAGCCTGATGGCTGTGGCCAATGGCCCATCTGGTCCAGCATCCTGTTCTCACAGTGGCCACCCAAATGCCTGTGGGAAACCCTCAAGTAGGACCCAAAACTAGATCACTATTTTCTCTTGTGGTTTCCAGCAATGGACATTCAGAAGCATTCCTGTCTCCAAACATGGATGCACAGCATAGCCGTCCTGACTGGTATCCACTGAGAGCCTTCTCCTCTATGAATTTGTCTGTCTTTATTTTAAAGGTATCCGAGTCACTCGTCGTCGTTGCCTCCTGTGGGAGTGAGTCCCATAGTTTAACTATGAGCTGTGGACTTTCTTTTATCTGTCTCCCAGCATTCAGCTTCATTGGCTGGCCACAAGATCTAGTCTTAGGAGAAATGGAGAAAATGTTTCTTGATCCATTTTCTCCATGCCATGCATAATTTTATCTGCTTCTATCATTTCACCTTTTCTCTAAACTTGTAAGGCCCAAACGCCACATCCTTTCCTTAGACTCCCCTCCCCTTTGCTCAGTTTGTGAATTAAACAGATCCCAGTAGAAATGAACTGTTTTGCCCAGAGATTTTGCCAAAGCCTTGACAGGATCGTTTTTGCCCAGACGAGATAAAACCTGTTTTCCTTGTCTTTTTTGCTCATCGCAGACAAGCAGCAGGGCACCATCAAACATGCCAGTCTTGCCATATGGTGCCATCACATGGCCTCAAAGCACTGGGAAGTCAGACCTGGCACTCTAATTCAATCTGTTTTTCACAACAGGCCACTGCCCCCTTGTGATGATGCAGTTTCAGATCTGGGAGCCCTCAAGGATGCAAGGGTGATGATTCAGGCAGCAACTATGCTTCACCTTTTCTCCTTTCAAAGTAAAGGTAAAGGTAAAGGTACCCCTGCCCGTACGGGCCAGTCTTGCCAGACTCTAGGGTTGTGCGCTCATCTCACTCTATAGGCTGGGAGCCAGCGCTGTCCGCAGACACTTCCGGGTCACGTGGCCAGCGTGACAAGCTGCATCTGGCAAGCCAGCGCAGCACACGGAACGCCGTTTACCTTCCTGCTATAAAGCGGTCCCTATTTATCTACTTGCACCCAGGGGTGCTTTTGAACTGCTAGGTTGGCAGGTGCTGGGGCCGAACGACGGGAGCGCACCCCGCCGCGGGGATTCGAACCACCGACCATGCGATCGGCAAGCTCTAGGCACTGAGGTTTTACCCACAGCGCCACCCGTGTCCCTTCTCCTTTCAAAGAGATTCCTACAAATGAAGCTAAACATCACCATTCTTTTGACTTCAGTTTATGTGCACATAGATGTCAGAGACCAGGCTGAGGAGTACTGCTCTGATGAGGAATGGTGGGAGCCTCCTTCCCCCTTGCTCCTGACCAGGATCCTGAAGCTGCCCAGGAGTAGTTGAGTGGTATAGATTTGGAACAGTGGTTTACAGAGGGGCATAGTTCTGAAGACAAAAGTTGGGGCGAACTGGGGGGTGAACAGCAAAGTGAACAGAGCTAACAGACTCTCTCTTGCTAGAAAGTGTCCAGCCTATCAGTCCAGGGTCATGTAGAGCAGATAAGGTGGCTACACAAAAAGCACAGTGGTTGCGAGATCAGGTTGCAAGAGGCGCAAGTGACTAGGGAGGAAGTGGGTGGAAACCTTAATTGGGAACACCGTCATTTCGAGAATGGCTGCTTTGTTCTTTTGCTGTGATCATTAAAGACTCTTTAAATAGTAAATGACTCTTTTCGCTTTGTCCTGCTTATCTACAGTCAAGGGGGGGGGAGCCAAGTCACCAAAGCCTGACAGTAATATGTGCCATGTGGTATAAGGGTTAGAGCAGGCTTCCTCAACCTCGGCCCTCCAGATGTTTTGAGACTACAATTCCCATCATCCCTGACCACTGGTCCTGCTAGCTAGGGATCATGGGAGTTGTAGGCCAAAAACATCTGGAGGGCCGAGGTTGAGGAAGCCTGGGTTAGAGTGTAGGACTAGGAGGCCATACCCTCCAACATTTATCCAATGGAAATAAGGATGTCCTAAGGAAAAGCGGAACATTCCAAGATCAAATCAGAAACTGGGATGGTTTCTGCAAACCTGGCACTGTTCCTAGAAAATAGGGACACTTAGAAGGTCTAGGAGGCGTGAGACACCAGAGTTGAAATCCACACTCAGTCATAAAGCTCAAGCCGATCACTGTCCCTTAGCCTAACCTACCTCAGAGTGTTGTTGTAAGGATAAAATAGGAAGGGGGGAAACCATGTGTGCAGCCACCTTGAGATCCTTGGAGGGAAAGTGAGCGAGAAAACTAATAAATACATAACAAACAAATAAATGCTCCAGAGATTACTACAAGTGAGGATGTTGAACGGGGTTTTCTGTCTGAGGAAGCATTCCTTACGCAGTGTGACCCTTCACCACACCAGGAGACTGGGGAAATAGACCACCTGACCCATCACAAGAGGGTGACATTTAAAGGCTTCATTAAACAAGCAAACCACAAGATGCCTATTTAAAACCAATAATACAGAATCTGAAGTCAAACCAACTCATGTTACCCCCAGCATTAAAATCCCAGCCCAAATGAAAACATTGTTTGACACTTCTAGAAAAGATAGAATTGTAGAGTTGGAAGGGATCCCAAGGGTCACTGAGTTGACCACACTGAAATGCCGGAATCTCAACTAGATCACACACGACAGATGGCCAATGTCTGCTTATAAGCAAGTGAGTCTGGGAAGTCATAGAATTATAGAAGCATGGACTTGTAGAGTTGGAAGCAGCCCAGAGGGCCATCCAGCCCAAACCCCTGCAATCCAGGAATCTTACACGACAGACGGCCACTTAACAACTGCTTAAAAACCTCCAATGAAGGG